TCACCATCACCGTCACCATCATCATCACAAGCATCATCATCACCACCATTATCATATGCATCACCATCAGTCTCACCATCGCCATCGTCATCGTCATCGTCATGGTCGTCGTCGTCATCATCATGGTCATCATCGCCATCACCATCATCGTCATCCTCATCCCCAGTATCATCCTCATCCTCATCATCATCAGATTCATCATCAGCATCATCACAATCACCATCAGCATCACCATCATCATCGTCACCATCACTATTTCCACCAAACTCATCATCATCTCCATCATCAGCCGCAATATCAACACCTGCATGACATTCGTCATCATAGTCATCATCACCCTAATGATTTTTCACCATCGCATCACCACCATCATCACCATCACCATCACCATCATCATCACCAGCACCATCATCACCATCAGCATCATAAACATCACCATTCTATCATCATCATCAGCAGCATCATCATCCTCATCGTCATCCTCCTCATCATCGTCGTCAAGCGGTCATCGAGCGAGCGGACGTCGCCAGCGGTCGTCGGCCAGCGAAGCGGCGCCCCGCGGCGCGCGCGTGCCTCGTCGCGCACCCGCGACGCCAGCAGCGAGGACGCGGCCGCCTGCATCTGGTCGGCGTCCTGCACCTCCGCCTGCACCGCCTGCGGGGACGCCGCCGCCGCCGCCGCAGCCGTCGTCGTCGTCGTCGGCGTCGCGGTCGTATGCGTCGTCGTCATCGCCACGGCCGTCGTCGTCGGCGTCGTGGCCGTAGTCGTCGTAGTCGTCGTCGGTGCCGTGGCCGTCGTGGTCGCGATCGTGGTCGTGCTCGTCGCGGTCGTGGCCGTCGTGGTCGCGGTGGTCGTGGCCGTCGTCGTGGCCGTCCTGGTGGAAGAGGAGGGGTAGGACGAGAAAGGAACAGGATGACGAGGAGAAGGACCATAATAAGCGCAAGATGCATCAACGATGCTGGAATCACCCTCCATACAAGCCTTCCTTGCTACACTACACGGGAACCCCCGAAAAGGCGACGGCCACAGTATATCTCGATATCCTCCTGAACCTTGTCTCGTTTCTGATTCCACTTGTGCTTACTAACAGGTCGCCGCCGCATGGCGGCCGTGAGCAATTGCAAGAACAAGGCCACGAGCTTCTATGGAAGATCTGCGCCTCTTTCAGTTGGACAGATCACACCTTCGCACAAACCAGCGTGCCGATACACGGTCTCACTTCTGGTGGCCAGCGAGGCATCAATGAAACAGGGAAGAGGCAATCCTAGAATATGCTCCAACTTCGCTAAAGAGCCTCCTGAGACACTCCTTCCGGCGAGAATTTCGAGGGTTCGGGAATGCATTCCATGTGGAGGTCAGGGTGTCGGGGCTGCAGGCTCGGCGAAGATGTGGCAATGCTGAGATTCGACGCGGGCCCCCCGTGAGGGTCACGGCGGCGTCGGAATCAGGGCCTCGGGTCTGAGTTGGGGCAGGGCCTGGGCTCAGCGAATCGGGGTGCAGGCTCCGTTTGACGGGCTCGGGTTGGGGCCCGCTCACACCCCGAGGCCACGGTGTCGAATGAGTTGGTGTTGCGGTCTGTTTCGGACTGGTGTTCGGGGTCCAGAGCGGGCTCCAATGTGTGCGGTACGAGCCCTGCATCGGGAGCGGCCAAGAGGGGGGTGTCCAAGAGGGCGGGGGTGCAAATCATGACCGGCGGCATGTGCGCGGCCCAGCGGAGGGGGGCCAGGGACGCAATGAAAGAAGAAGAAGAAGAAGAAGAGGCGCCATGAAATCTGGGGAGATATCATGCCCCCCGCCATGATATCCACCCGCCCCTAGTCATCACCCCCCTCTTGGCCGCCCCCGGCTGCAGGGCTGTGGTGTGGATTTGGGGCCGGGGTAGTCGCCGGGCTTCGGTGCGCGGCGTGCTGTGTGCGTCGGAGGTGTGCGTGACCTCTCTCCTCCTCCTCCTCCTCCTCCTCCTCCTCCTCCTCCTCCTCCTCCTCCTCCTCCTCCTCCTCCTCCTCCTCCTCCTCCTCCTCCTCCTCCCCCTCCACTGCGGAGCTCTCACAGGGCCCGATTCGGACTACCTCGGCGCCCCGTGGGGCCGTAGTGGGGTCACCTTGGTGCCGTCTCGCTCTCGGGGCTGCTTTGGAACCGTCGTGGGCCCTCTTGGCCTCTCGTGGGCCGTGTTGGAGCCATGTTGGGATATCTCTGTGCGTTCGTGGGCTGCCTTTGGGCTGTCTTGGGGCACGTTTGGGGCCCTCTTGGGTCCTCGTTGGTTCCGGCGATAGCTCTCTTCTGCCGCTCATCTCGTTTTGTTGTCAGATGTCGATCAGCATTTCTCGCCACTCCTCTCCATTTAGCGCTTGCACTTGGTCGATTGCTGGGGCAAATTCGAAATGCTGGCCTCTCACCTGCTGCACTGCTCCACGGCAACACCGCGAGATGCTAGATTGTGGTGTTCCTGTGCATCGGGCGGCTTCCCCTTGCGATGAGTACCAAATCCACGCACTACTCCAGCACTGACGAAAGAGAACAGGCCGTTGAGTCCCAAATCTAGTAGGCTTTCCCCCTGAGCGGTTCTCATGATAATGCTGCATGTTCTGAGCGTGGGACACATACTCTAGGTTGTCGATATGGTTGTTCAGTTTATTGCCATCCTTATGATTCACCACCTTTCCTCTATGCACAGGATCGTGCTCCGAAAATCTCGCTGCCACGAGCCGGTGCACGAGAAAGTGCTGGACTACCCCACACTGCGAAATACCGACCGAACGGTAGCCTTCCCCAGTTGCTGAACCCCATCCAACAATGCCTCGAGTACTTCTCACACGGCCGAACGAACTCACGGCCCACGTGGACAACTTTGCACCAGTATCTGGGTGGACGGCCTGTCCCCACCTCTCGCCTGGAAGGTCAGGCACATGTACCGCTGAGAAGCGAAACTCAAAATCGCCAGTGCGCTTCTGGCTGCCTCTGCAGCATTTGCCAATGCTTGATGCATGAAGCCCCAGCTTCTGCGCTGCATCAGACATTGAGTGATATGCTTTCCAGGTGGTGGTCCCACATGTTCTGCCCACCACTGGCAGAGACACCGCAGCCGAACATGACTTTCTACCTGGCCTGGCATGTGAATACAACATATTCTGCGACCGCGTGACATAGTCCAGGTTACTCGCGCTGTTGTTCCAAGGGATCACATCCTTGTGGTGGACCTCCCAATGATGCTTTGTTGGAGGGGGTCCCAAAAAAGCACGTGCAACAAGACGATGAACAGATCTGTGTTTTGTTCCTCCAACCCCGGTTCTATAATACCCAGAGGGCGTGGGACTGCCCCAGGATATGATCCCCCTGGTATTCCTGATCTGGCCGAGGGAGCTCACCAGTGGAACGCCAAATGAGGCGCTCGAAGAGGTGGAACGGGTGACTCCCCATGACCATCCGACAAGAGGAATATCTGCGCATGCTCCAAGCACCGGTAGCGACCTCCGAGCAGCGTGACAGATGCCAAACGTGGCGCGACTCAGCATATTTGGTGACACATGCGAAACACAAACTGACCAAATGCAAATCCTTGATCACATAAGCTCGGCGGCCAACCAAACCATAGCCGTTTCAGCCAAAACGGGTTGGGCTAATTTGCTTGAGCCAAATGAGATAAGACTAAGGGTTTTAGCCCAAACAGCTACGGAATCCCCTCTCCCGCCGTCGTGTGGGGTTCTTGGGCAGTCCTGGCCCGTCTTGGGACTTTCGTGGGTGACCTCTGAGGGGCCCTTCTGGCCGCTGCCTGATCCGCCGATGCCCTCGTAGAACCATCTTGAGCCGACAGATCGGGAATGCAACAACAACAAAAAACAGCATGCGAAACTCTTCAGAGATACAAATGATTTGGGCCAGCGTGGGACCGTCTTGGGGTCCTCGTGGAGCCTCTTGGGTTCTTCTGAGCTGCCCGCGAAAAGAAATACAAGTCCGCCGACCCCTTCGGGGTCCTGAGCGTGTGAGATAGCTGCCCTCCCAAACCCCCTCCCCCGGGAGCCTGGTCTGGCGGTTTTTGGAGGGGGGGCATCCGGCCGGAGGGGTCGCTGCACTCATCTGGCCGAGCAAAGCTCCCAGACGGCCGTTGCCGTTAGACGGGTCAACAAGGGTACCGGAATGCTCCGGATGGTGTCCCAATGGCCCACGTTTGTTCACAAACGGCCCCATATGGCCTCAAGACAACCCAAGAGGCCCCAAATCGCCCCAAAGGACCCCAGGACGGCCCACGAGGTTCCCAAGGCGGCCCCAAAGCGCCCAAGGCGGGCCCAAGAGGGGCCCAAGAGGGGGGCAGCGAAGGTGCCCTGAGGCCAAGATAACCTCGGAGACCGTCCAGAAGCCCACAAGAAGCCCTCTGGGCCTCCCAAGGGGGCCTCCAAGAGGCCCTCAAAAGGCTCCCAAAAGGCCCCAAGAGGCACCCCAAGAGGTCCCCGAATAGGGCCCCACAATATGCCCAAGACGGGGAAAGCGAAGGGACATCGAACTAGCGTTCGGAGTCGTACCCGCTCCTTCGCTTGTTGCTGGCCCCGCAACTTGGTCCCCAAGGGTCGGCGGTGCAGCGTAAGCCCGTGAATAACAATAGGGATAATGCCACCTGTGTACCATTGTCTGCACCTGAAAGGGCACGTGGGTGAGGCCGTGGCCGTGGTCTATTGTTCGGACGGGCGTCAACGCAGGAGACAGACTGAACAGCTCTGCGGGGAAGGGGCTAGAGTGAGGTTTTTGAAGTCGGTGCCGGTGCGCTGCTCGTACCGTTCGGGCATCTTTGGGGGTGGGGTGGGGTTGCTTGGGGCCGTTTGGAAGCTCTTGGAGTCCGCTGGTCGGGCTCCGGGAGCTCCGGGGCGAACCAGGAGGGGCCGTCCAGAGGAGACCGGGGAGGCACCAGGAGGGCAGGGTGAGCATACTCGGAAGCTGGGCGAGGGCCGCTAAAACCGTGGCCGCTAAAACGGCCCTACCAGAAGGAAAAAACAACTTCCCCGAATGAGGCGCGGCACGCGAAACAGTCAACGGGCTTCTTCCTGGAAGGACGAAGGCAACTTCCCGGAGGTTAATTTTAGCAGGCGCGGATTTAGCAGCCCTTGCCCGGCTTCCGACATATGTAGTTCCAGCGCCTCCACGGGGGGCGGAGCCCGAGGCCCCTGGGGCAGGGCTTCGCGAATCTGAGAGGTACGCAGGCGTGCATACCCATCGCCTCGGCAGGCGCGGATGCGAAGGACGTCCCTGGCGACGCGCCCAGCTGCCTCCCCTTTCCCCCGGACCTCCCCCCCCTCCCTCGCCAGGAGAACCATGATGCTTGAAACGCGACGGCGCTTGCTGCAGCCAGCACGTGCGCGACCTGAAAAGGATTCGCGCAAGCGAGTGGAACCCCCTCGCTCCCTTATGGACGCGCACGCGCACAACCACACACACAAACTTGTCCCGCAGACGCGGCGACGGGTTGCAGTCACCTGGGACGCAGTGCAAAGGGACGCACATGGACTTTCTCACACACACACACACAAGCACACACATCGATATATAGCACACGCACACAACTGCAAACAAGGCCACTCTTTTCCCCCACAATTCTCTCTCTCTCTCTCTATTCTCTTTTTCCTCTCTCTCTCTCTCTCTTTTTCTATTCCCCCCCCCTCGCCCTCCTCGTTGACCCCCCCCTCCACCCCCCTCCTCGTCCTCCGCCCCTCGCCCTCCTCGTCCCCTCCTTCCCCTCCACCCCTCTACCTCACCCCCTCCCCACTTCGGGCGTGGCAGGTCGCTCTGCCAGGCAGCCGCGCCTCCACCAGGCAGCTGGCGGTGCTGCCCGCAGGGCCGCTGAAGAGCCGCAGGCCCCCCGACGCGCCCCCGAGCTGCACCTGGTCTGCGGGGCTCTCATCCCCCGTCCTCCACCATCATCCCCGCCTCCTCCTCTCCTCCTCCTCCTCCTCCTCTCTCCTCTCCTCCTCCGCCTCCTCCTCCTCCTGCCCTCCCCTCCTCCTCCTCCTCCTCCTCCTCCTCAAGTCCAACTCCTCCTCCTCCTCCTCCCCTCCCGTCCTCCTGATCCTCCACCGCCTCCTCCTCCTCTCCTCCTCCTCCTCCTCTCCCCTCCTCCTCCCTCCCCCTCCCCTCCCCTCCTCCTCCTCCTCTCCTCCGCCTCCTCCTCCTCCTCCTCCACCCCTCCTCCTCCTCCTCCTGCCCCCCCTCCTCCTCCTCCACATCTTCACTCCAGGGGTGGTCCTCCTCCTCCTACCTCCTCCTCCTCCTCCTCCTCCTCATCATCATCATCATCATCATCATCATCATCATCATCATTCATCATCATCATCATCATCATCATCATCATCATCATCATCAACATCATCATCAATCATCATTCATCATCATCATCATCATCATCCATCATCATCATCATCATCATCATCATATCATCATCGTCATCGTCATCATCATCATCATCATCATCATCATCATCATCATCATCATCATCATCATCATCATCATCATCATCATCATCATCATCATCATCATCATCATCATCGCTTCTGATCCACCTGATTATCCTGATCCTCCTCCTCCTCCTCCTCCAACTCCAACTCCAACTCCAACTTCTTCTCCTCCTCCACCTCCTCCTCCTCCTCCTCCACCTTCTGCCCCGCCTCCCCCTCCTCCTCCTCCTCTTCCTGCCCCTTCTCCTCTTTTTCCTCCTCCTCCTCCTCTTCGCATTATCCTCATGTTGCTGATGCTCGTCTCCCTGTTCCTCCTGCTCCTCCTACCCCGCGCCAGTTGCCCCTAAGTGTTGTACTGCCTTCAGGCAGGGAGAAAACGTGGGCGAAGGCGGAGGGAGTAAGAGGAGCTGGAAGAGAGCAGGCGAAGCATCCGCACAACGCTCTTCATCAGCAAGTCTCCATCCGGGATCCCGTGAGTAAAGGTAGCCCCGTAAGGTCCCCCGGAGGCCAACAATAGCGACAAACCTTCCATGACTGTTTCACGACGCGGGAGGGTCTGGGGGTGGGAGAGGTGCAGGAGGCGGGGGCGCATGAGGGGGCAACGGTGGTGAGCAGACGGGGCGCAAGAGGGCGGCCAGGGGCGGAGGCGGGCGACAAGGGCGAGGGGGGGAAGGGGGGGCGGGGAAGGAAGGATGGGCGAATGGCGGAAGGGGGTGGGGGACGGGGCGAAAAGTGAAGGGCGGAGAAGGGGAGGGGGGAAGGGAACGAGAGGAGGAGGGACGGCAGGGAGGGGAGGCGAAGAGAGGCCATACATCCTAATCCGCCTCGTCTTCGTCCTCGTCCTCCTCTCTTCCTTCAACTCCTCCTCTTCCTCCTCCTCCTCCTCCTCCTCCTCCTCCTCCTCCTCCTCACCACCACCACCACCACCACCACCACCACCACCATCATCATCATCATCATCATCATCATCATCATCATCATCATCATCATCATCATCATCATCACCACCATCATCATCATCATCATCAGCAGCATCATTATCATCAGCAGCAGCATCAGCATCAGCATCAGCATCAGCATCATTATCACCATGTCATCAGCATCGTCATCAGCATCATCATCACCATCATCATCATCATCATGAAAGACATTATCACCACCATCATCATCATCATCATCAACAACATCAACATCGTCGTCATCGTCATCATCATCAGCATCATCGTCACAATCATCATCATCACCACCATCATTATCATCATCACCACCATAATTATCATCTTCATCATCACCGTCAGCATCATCAGCATCAGCATCATCATCGTCATATCATCAGCGTCATCATCATCATCGTCATCATCATCATCCTCGTCGTCGTGGTCGTCGTCGTCGTAGTCATCGCCACGTCATCATCATCGTCATCAGCATCCCCATCATCATCAGCCCCAGCAGCGCCATCAGCATGAGCATCATCAGCACCATCATCAGCAGCAGCATTATCAGCACCATCAGAATCATCGTGAACACCAACAACATCGTCATCATCGTCACCACCACCACCACAACCACCACCACCTACGTCATCATAATCATCATCATCAGCAGCATCAGCATCATCATTATCATCATCATCATCCTCATCATCATCATCACCATCATCATCATCATCATCATCATCATCATCATCATCATCATCATCATCATCATTGTCATCATCATTGTCATCATCATTGTCATCATCATTGTCATCATCATCATCAGCATCATCACCATCGTCGTCATCATCAGCATCATCACCCTCGTCATCGTCATCATCATCATCATCATTATCATCATCATCATCAACATCCTGATCATCCTGATCATCCTCATCATCGTCATCGTCCTCATCGTCCTCGTCCTCATCCTCATCCTCATCATCATCATCCTCCTCATCCTCCTCCTCCTCTTCCTCCTCCTCCCACTCCTCCTCCTCCTCCTCCTCCTCCTCCTCCTCCTCCTCCTCCTCCTCCTCCTCCTCTTCCTCTTCCTCATCATCATCATCGTCATCGTCATCGTCGTCATTATCATTATCATTATCATCTCCACCACCATCATCATTACCATCGCATCATCGTCATCATCATCAGCATTATCAGCATCACCATCACCATCAACATCATCATCAACATCATCATCACAATCATCATCCTCATCCTCATCCTCATTCATCCTCATCCTCATCCTCATCCTCATCATCCTTATCCTGGTCCTCATCCTCCTCCGCCTCCTCCTGATACTCCTCCTCCTCCTCCTGCTCATCCTCCTCCTTTATCCTCCATTCCTTGGCTTTCTGAATTTAGCTTCTCCCTGTCGCACCCCAAGGCCACTCGGAAGGGGGGCCGGGCGTTTCGCCCGATACTTACCGCTACGAGCCTCCAGCTTAAACGCTGATACAGCGTGACAAATGGAGGGCGGGTCGCTTCCAAAATGTGACGCTCGTCTTAGCCCCGCGCGCATTCGTCTTAAGAACTTGCAAGAGCTCCACAGACTGAGGACAGGTCGTTTTCAAAATGTGGCTCCCGCCTCAGCGCCGTGCAAATCCGTTTAAACAATTGCAAGAGCTTCGCGGGTTGAGGGCGGGTTGTGTTCAAAGTGTTGCTCTCGCCGTAGCGCTGCGCACATTCGTTTTAAGCAGTTGCAAAAATTTCGCGGATTGAGGGCGGATCCTTTTCAAAATGTGGCTCTCGCCTAAGCGCCGCGCACATTGTTTTGAACAGCTTGCAAGAGTTTCGCGGATTCTCATTGCACGTACCAGAAATGGTGTTATGGAGCGATCCAGGATTGTCCCGGCGCACCAGTTAAGTTGAGTCGTGGTGTTGAAGTCCCAGGAACGGCGTTCTGGCGCAATTCAGGACCGTCAAGGTGCAGCATTCAGGTTGACTCGTGGCGTTGAAGTCCTGAGAATGGGTTCCTGGCAGGCTTCAGGATGTTCACACTGTTGTCTCCCAACGGGGCAATTCCCTCAGTGGAGATGAATCCATGTCGGGGCCTATGAAGAGGGAGCTCGGAGGGAGGGTGTATACCAACATCGTTGATGAATCTTGGGTTTATACTGGTCCTCCTCCTCTTCCTCCTCATCATCTCCCTCCTCCTCCTCGTCCTCCGCCTCCTCCCCAGCAGGAGAAACAAAAGCGAGCCTCGCTCCACGCCTCCGCAGCCGCGATCGTGGCCTGCAGGCGGCATGGGGGCTGAGCGGCGCTGAGCGGCGTAAGCGCCCCATTCGCGCCCCTGCCCCTCACACCCCTCTCCCTTTCCCCTCTCCTGGGCGCCGCTTCTCCTCCCCTGTCCTGGTCCCCTCTCCCCCTGCTTCTGCCCTCCTCCTGTGCCTACCCATCTCCCCTTCCTCTCCCTCCTCGTTTTCCCCCTTCCCCTCCCCGTCTCCTCCCCACCCCTTCCCCATCCATCTGCTCCGTTCTCCCTCACCATCCTCCCCCGTCATCTCGCGCCCCCCCCCTCATTCCGGGCCCCCATTCCCCTGCACATTTCCCCTCCGTCCCGTCCCGACATCGGCTTCTAATTACCTTCCCCCTTCGCCGCCCTCCCCCGTCATCTCTCATCGCCCCGAACCCCTCTCTCGCGCATCCCAGCAGGACGCGGCAGCCTGCGGGGGGGTCGGGAGGGAGGGCGCGTGCTGCTGGGCGTCCGAAAGCAGGCTGGGAGGGCCGCCCCACTCCTCGAGAAGGGTCGCGGGAGCTGGCCTCCGAGTTCGCCCCAGGCCGTGCGGGGCTGCAGGAGGGGCTGATGCTGCTCCAGTCCCAGAAGGCCCAAGCGGCGGGGAGGCCCCCGGAGGCCCTGGCTCAGCTTGCAATACGGCGAACGAACAACACGCACCCATAGCCATAAGGGGGGGCGGGGGGGGCTATGGGTGCGTGTTGTCGGATGGGGTCCCCGCACGAACGGGAGCTTCCCCCAGGGTCCGACAACTCGCACCCATACCCATAGCCAATCCTCCTCCTTCCGACCCTCCTACGGGTACTCCAGATCTCGTAACAAAAGGGAGGGGGTCTGGACCCTCTAAGACGAGCCATTTCAGACCCCCCCTGTGGGAGAACCCTCCAAAACATCGTCCCCAGAACCCCCCAGGCCCTCCAAGATAGCCTGGAAGAGACCCCCCCCGAAATGAGACCCCCCTCCCTTTATTACGAAATCCTGGAGTATGGGTGTGTGTTGTTCGTTCGTCACAATACGGCTGGCGCCAGCCTTCACGGAGGCCGGGACCGCCCCGAGCCAAAGGGAGCTGCGGGGCAGGGCCGCGGCACCTCGAGGGGAGTGCTGCGGACCCTGCGCCTGGGCACGAGCGGCCATGCCTGCCCGCGCCGTCCGACCTCCTCCTCCTCCTCCTCCTCCTCCTCCTCCTCCTCCTCCTCCTTCTCCTCCTCCTCCTCCTGCCTGCGCCCTCCTCCTCCTCCTCGTGCCTCCTCCTCCTCCTGGAGCAGGAGGAGGAGGCACGAGGGGCACCAAAAGTGGCATAAAACATAAAAACTCGGAGGTCCGCGCGGAGATCTCGGATCGGCCGCTGGACCCCCCTCCCTGGCGCGCGGAGCGCGCCGGGGGCGGCGCCGGAGGCGCCGCCGGGGGGCCCCAGCGCCGATCCGAGAAATCCGCGCGGACCTGAGAGTTTTTATATCTATGTCACTTTTTGTGCCCCTGTTCTGGGCGTCGCCACCGCTAGATTCGCCTCGAAGTTCTGGTCAGAACGCACCCTGGGACAGGCCTGGGTCAGGAGGGAAAAAACACACAGACCCAATCAATCGTCGATTCCCCCGAAAAGATGGGAAAATCTGGGAAGTGGGGGGGAAGTCAAACACCCAGAAAATATCCCCTACCCGGGCTGCTGGCTGGTCCCTGTCGCGCTGCCGGCGGGCCTGGGCTCCCTGCAGCTGGGGGCGGCGCCGCTGGCGGGGGTGGCTGGGGCTCGTGCCGGCGACCCGAGGACTGTGCTGCGGCCCGGCGCCCAGGGCAGGGGTGGCGCGTGCCCCTGCCCCTGCCCCTGCCCCTGCCCCTCCTCCTCCTCCTCCTCCTCCTCCTCCTCCTCCTCCTCCTCCTCCTCCTCCTCCTCCTCCCCTCCTCCTCCTCCTCCTCCTCCTCCTCCTCCTCCTCCTCCTCCTGGGCTCCTGGGTGGGGTGGCGGGCGGGCCGGGGAGCTTCTGCCACCTGGTCCTCGGCACGCTCTGAGGGCCGCCGCGTTTCCCGGCCTCTGCCATGCCATGCCGAGCATTTTTCTCTCTCTCTCTCTCTCTCTCTCTCTCTCTCTCTCTCTCTCTCTCTCTCTCTCTCTTCCTCTCCCCGCCAGCCTGGCGCGCTCCGCCCGCCCGCCTCATATCCTCTCACCCGCATTGTGTCCCTCCGCATTTCCCCATCCTGGATTCCATCCTTGCCTGTCCTGCGTGCTTCTCTTCATAGTTACGTTCCTCTCCCTCCTCATATCGTGGCCCTCGTTGTTGTTTTTACTTGTCGCATCCTCATTGTTAACACGTATGAGAGCGAATGGGCCGAACGGTCTGACACCGTCGCTGGGTGCGTGGCTGGAGTAGAACGCGGCGCGGATTATGCTTGTCTGTTGTTGTTGTTGCTGCTGCTGCTGCTGCTGCTGCTGCTGCTGCTGCTGCTGCTGCTGCTGTCGTCCTCGCCCGCGACCCACCTGCGACTCACCCCGCGACCCACTCCGTGACCTCCCCCCGCGACCTCCCTGGCGACCCACCCGCGACACACCCACAATGCTGTGACGAAAATTCGGCGCATGCAGCGAGCTCGCTGCAGTGCGTAAAAATCGGCGGCTGCGGCGGGCTTCTTCAGAGCCTCGCAGACTTCCGACGACCCCGCTGCCCCCCGTCACTCTTATCCTCAACTGCGGGAGCTATGCTAGTTTGTGCGCGGCTATCAGTTACAACCCTACCCCTGTCCCATGCATGCTGTTGTTTGTGTCCACCTCCACCTCCTCCTCCCCCATCCTGCCCCTCCTCCTCCCCACCTCCTCCCCCATCCTCCCCCATCGACCCCCCTCCCGCATCCCCCCCCCGCTTCCCCTCCCCGTCCACCTCCTCCCCCTCCGTCCCCCCCCCTCCTCCCCGTTCTTACCCCTCTTTCCCTATTTTTCCCCCTCCCCGTCCTCCCCCTCTCCTCCCCCCGCCTCCTCCCCACCTCCCGCTCCTCCCCTCCCCCCCCCTCCTCCCTCCCCGCGGCTTCGAGGACGGAGCTCCGAGGACACGCGAGGCTCCCAGGAATGGTGTTTTTTTCCCCTCCTGAACTACGGTTCTCTCTCGCCTGCCTGGGTCGGGGGGCGCTCGCCCGCCGGCACTTCGAGATCCCTCGCGCAGCTACGCTGACCCTAGCCATGCAGCCAACGCGCACAGTAGGGATGCACGCTGCACACAATACTGTGCGGGCGGGGCCGCAAGAAACCCTCGCAAGAAGCCCAACCCTGAGAACCCGTGCGCGAGGTGCACCTGAGGGGAAACCTGGCGCACCGCCGGCATCCCAAGATCACTCGCGCAGTTACGCTGACCTTAGCCATGCAGCCAACGCGCATAATAGGGATGCACGTTGCACATAGTACTGTGCGGGCGGGGCCGCAAGAAACCCTCGCAAGAAGCCCAACCCTGAAAACCCGTGCGCGAGGTGCACCTGAGGGGAAACCTGGCGCACCGCCGGCATCCCAAGATCACTCGCGCAGTTACGCTGACCTTAGCCATGCAGCCAACGCGCATAATAGGGATGCACGTTGCACATAGTACTGTGCGGGCGGGGCCGCAAGAAACCCTCGCAAGAAGCCCAACCCTGAGAACCCGTGCGCGAGGTGCACCTGAGGGGAAACCTGGCGCACCGCCGGCATCCCAAGATCACTCGCGCAGTTACGCTGACCTTAGCCATGCAGCCAACGCGCATAATAGGGATGCACGTTGCACATAGTACAGTGCGGGCGGGGCCGCAAGAAACCCTCGCAAGAAGCCCAACCCTGAGAACCCGTGCGCGAGGTGCACCTGAGGGGAAACCGCGAGCACCCTTGACGCAGCAGCTCCTTCAACGACTACTGGGAAGTCACCGCGCAGCGCGAGGAGCGAAGAAACCCAGGATACCCCGACGAAACGCATATGGCTTCTTGATGCGCGCCCCCACTGCAGGGCCTGGGAAGGCGGTGCCGACGCCTTTCGAGCGGGGCGCGGCCAGCACAAGTGGCCAAGCATGGGCCGAGAGGGAAGGATGCGAGGCTGCGGCGACTCCGAAGGGTGCGGCTTGCAAAGGGTGCAGCTTGCAACCAGCACCTGGGGGGGGGGGACCCTGGGGGGCGGGCGGGGATCTCGATAGAGTTCTCCGCCGCGCCCCGAGGAGGCCCGACGAGGACAGCGTTGCGCCCCCCAGGCCCCAACGGCGCCGATCGCAAACCACACCCCGGCGTAACCATACCCTTTGCAGTCGCCGAAAGGATGGGCCGAAAGGGAAGGATGCAAGGGTAACCTTGGAAAGTCGCTCATCCTTACAGTCGGTGTTGACTGTACCGGTCCTAGTCCCTGGAAGTCCCGACCCTTTCCCCGGGAGCGGTTTTTCATCCTCAGCAGTTGTTCGACTGTCCCGGGGACCAGCGAGGGCCTCCAGAGGCAGAAAACGGCGGAAAACCTCCGTCCTGAACGTGGTGCCACACGCTCATGTCTGTAGAGGCCTCCTAGATAGGGTCCGAGTAGATGGGGTCGAAGGATCGCGCCGCATCGCCAACACATCGCCGATCGAGCCGCATCGTCGATGCATCGGCGATGCGGCGTGATCCTCCAACCACATCTACTCCGACCCCATCTAGGAGGCTTAGAGTCTGGGTTAGCACCCGCCCGATCATTCTGAGGATCGGTGTTGGCTGCACCGCCGTTCGGTCGCTCCCTGCCCCTCCCGCTGCTCCCGTCCCGTTGCCCGCTCCCCCCCCCTGACACCCAGCGTCCCTGACACCCAGCGTCCCCTGAGGATCGGTCGCTCCCTGCACGCGCGCCGCTCCTCCGCTCCGCCCCCGGGGCGCGCGGCCCCGCCTCCGCCTGCGCCCGCACCCGCCCGCAGAGGTCCTCCACCTGGCGGCGCGGCGGGGAGGAGGAGGAGGAGGAGGAGGAGGAGGAGGAGGAGGAGGAGGAGGAGGAGGAGGAGGAGGAGGAGGAGGAGGAGGAGGAGGAGGAGGAAGGAGAGGGGAGAGAGAGGAGGGGGGGGGGGGGGGAGGAGGAGGAGAAGGCGGATGAGGAGTATGAGAGATGGAGGAGGAGGAGAGGGAGGGAGAGGAGGAGGAGGAAGGAGAGGAGGGAAGGAGGCAGGAGGAGGGGGAGAGGAGAGAGTAGGAGAGAGGAGAGGATGGAGGAGGAGGGAAGGAGCGGAGGAATTCGAACAGGGGGGGGAGTGGAAGGAGCAGAGAGCATCAGAGGGAGAGAGAGGAGGTGAGAAAAGGAGGGAGAGGAGGAGAGGAGGAGGAGAAGGAGGAAGGGAGAGGAGGCGGAGAAGGAAGAAGGGGGGAAGGAGGAGGAGGAGGAGGCGAAGAGAAAGGAGGTAGGGAAAGAGGAGAAGGCAGCGAGTAGGCAGACGAAGAGGAAGCGGAGGAGAGGGAAAAAAGGGGGCGAATCACGGCAGAGGCGGATGGCGTGAGCAGAGAAAAGAAAAGGAGGAGGGGGGGGAGGCGCAGGGGGAAGTGAGGGGGGAATAAGGGGGGTGGGGGGGGGGGGGGGGGGGGGGGGAATGGACTGGGGGGTCGAGGGAGGTGTAGGGGGGGGGGAGAGAGGGGAGGTCAAGCGAGGAGGCCTGGGGGCAGGGGGAACAGGGACGGTCGCGGGCGAAAAAGGTCGGAGGGGGAGGAGGGGGCAGCGGGGTCGTCTACAGGCTCCAGATCAACGAGCGCTGGGTGAGACAGACTCGCGATCGCAGCGGCAGAGGAAGGGAAGAGCAGGGGGAGGAGCAGGAGGTTGAGGGAGGAGGCTCTCGACCTGGGAAGAGGAGGAGAAGGAGCAGGAGGATCAGGAGCAGGAGGAGTAGCATGAGGAGGAGGTGGAGGAGGAGGAGGTTCTCGATGTTTCCTATGGTTTTTATGCCTGTCTATCCTTTTGGGACACCTGGCCTCGGGGAGGCTCTGGAGGCCTCCGGGGACCTGGGACCACCGGAGGCCTCCGAAGACTTCTGGAGACGGAGGAGTACCCGTCGATCGGAAGAAGTGGGTAGAAACATTACCCCAGTGCGACCCTACCTAGGGGTTGGAGCCCCTAGGAAAGCAGCATTAGGAGTAACGGTAAACGCCGTCCTCCTCCTCCTTCTCCTCATCGTCGTAGTTGCCTTTGCTTGTGCTTGTGTTTGCCTTTGCTTGGTTTTGCTTTTGCTTTGCCTTCGCACACACACACACGAAAGTGTTTGCATTCGCTCACTGGGTGGGCTCTCTGATCGTACTGCTTGCGGGGGCTCCGGTCCGGCCATCGAGGCTAGCTCGGCATCTGTCGCACATTGTTTTTGCTTTGCCTTTCCTTTGCTTTGTTTTTGCGTTTGCGTTTGCTTTGCTTTGCGTTGCTTGTGCTTGTGCTTTGCTGCTGCTGTTGCTTTGCCTTTGCTTTGCTGCTATGCCATGCTATGCTATGCGATACTATGCTATGCTATGCTATGATATGCTATGCCATGAAATGCTATGCTATGCTACGTTGCACTATGATATGCTATGCTATGATATGAAATGCTATGCTATGCTCTACTGCGCTATGCTGCGCTATGCTATACTACGCTGGGCTGCGCTATCGTATGCTAGGCTATGGTATGCTATGCTGTGCTGCGCTATGCTATGATATGCTGTGCTATGCTGCGCTATGCTATGCTATGCTATGCTGCGCTATGCTATGTTATGATGGGCCATGCTATGAAATGCTGAGCTAAGCTAAGCTAAACTAAGTTACAGCTACAGCTACGCGAAGCTAAGATGAAGCTAAGCTAAGCTAAGCTAAGCTAAGATGAGATACGCAACGCTAAGCTAAGGGGACGTAACTGGGGGAACCGCGGGGCGGATACTGGGGGAACCGCCCGGGGCGCTTTCCACTGCCTGGCCCCTTTAAGCCCAGAGAGTAAGAACCCTTCTAGGCAGAGCCTAGGTAGGGAATGAAGGCGTTCAAAGTAGATTGGCCTTCCGCCCGCCCCCTGAAGAGGAGGGACGAAGGAAGCCGCTCGACCCTTCAAGTAGGAAGGCGCCCAGCGTAGAGTGGAAGCTGGGACGCCCAGAAGATCTACTCTCAACGACCGACGTGTAGGGGGGGGGGGGAAAGGATAGAGGAGGCACGGGCATCGCGCTACCACTAGGAACGCCCAATGATGACAGCGACGGGGCTTCTCTGGCCACGGCCAGCCCCGGCCACGTGTTGTGGGGCTCCCCCCGACCCGGGCCCGAGGAGCGGCGCGAGCACCAGAACCCCTCGAGCCAGCTTGCTATTCTTCGGCGATAGCCCAAGGTATCCTGCGGGGGGGGTCCTCCTCCTCCTCCTCCTCC